GCTTGAGAAATATTCATTTGCCGGCAGTGTGGACAAGGGCGGCATCAACTGTTCTTGAGGAGGGTTGCGCAGACGAATGCGGACTTCCTCCACTCTTGCTAGATCGCAAAGCCCCACATAGTTGGGCGGTCCCGTTGCAGTGCTGGTAGTGGTACAGTGGTTTATTCGCTGTCACCGATGTGCTTTGGATCCTGTGGTCCGAGGTTCGAGCCCCGCCGCTGCCAACCAACTTTGGTGGTCGACAGCTTTGCTATCACTCGTTTCTATATCATACCTAACGTAGCGGGGCCTTATATGGTTCGCCACTCCAAGTTCCGAAGCTTAGGTCGCCGGTTACTATCTTTGAGCCGTAGGTCCTAGTGACTAGCGATGGGTGTCAATAAGGTGCAAAATGACCGTACTTACGATAAACTAACTTAGTTGCTTCACTTCTCATTCACACACGATGGTGCTCACGCATACGCTCGGACAGAAGTCTATCCCTTTGGCAAACCAAGTTGTCCGAATATCATTCAAGCTGTCCAGGTCTCATTTCAAGTTATCTGAGCATCATTTCAAGCTGTCTCATTGACCACATCAGAAGATTGCTGGTTAGGTATGTCTATCTAAAAGATGACGCTGAAGTTGCTTTGATTAAATAAAGAATCCCCAATTGTTTCTTGTGCATCTTACGGTATTCGGCTCAGATTATTTGGCAACAGTGATGCGCGCATTGATCGAGCATGGTTGATTGGTGTCCTACTGCAACCGACTGAGCTGCATAGTGTGATTCGGATTGTGACGGACGTATGCAATGGTTCGAGTGCTAATCGCGTTTGATCCATTGGTATCGGCGGGGCATTGTTCCATATGGGAAAGGAGGAGGAGGGATACGCACACAGACGTTTGCACTTACACCCGGAAAGCTAGACAATGAAGACAGGTCACGGAAATTGTGTGTGACCAGTAGCACGTCTCACAATCGTCGTCAGCCCCGTGCTCGAAGAGAATTCCTTACTGCATGGTGGTTTTCAAACGTTAATGAGCCTGGCAACTCCAATGAGGTCGGTGAGACTGGTTCAACGGATGGTCAGACAACTTGAAATGACACTTGAACAACTTGAAATGCTACTGAGACATCCTAAAAGGATAGCCAGAGGACAACTTGAATTGCAGAGGCTATTCAGAGATGCGACCAATATGTATTGCTCCACTATAGCCAACTAAGGATGTAAATCAAGTTTGGAGCTTGATGACGCGGAAAGTTTTGTTCAAGTCAAGTAAAGGAACGTGGTAAGCATTCAAAGCGTGGATTTTCAACAATGAACAACAATGAACTTCTACAGCAGATACGTAAAAATTGCGTGAAAAAAATACGTGAAACAAGTAAACCAAACCAAGTCTACCAATTCTCTTGTATCGGGAAAACGTTTGAGGGAGCTGGAAAATAAGGTGAAATCTTTTCTTTTAAACCAGGGGTAAATACTGTCGAGCACAACCAAGATGCATAAAGTGCAACCGGTTGATGGTAGGCGACAGGTTTCTATAAACCATCTCCACCAAGAAGCCACCTTCGAATAGTAATGGTTGGCATAGTAGTGATCTCAGCTACAATAATTTTCAGAAGCGCTTCAGGTCCTTGAATCACGGTATATGCTAAGTGCTTTGAGTATCCGTTTCGGATGGATATTCCGACCACAAGTCTCAGTATGGGCAAGGGTGGGCGTCTTTGTTTGCGGCTGATCATTCCCTGTACTTCTGAAATGCTTTGATACGACCAAGGGTTTCAAATAGCCTTTGTTGAGGAAGCTTTACTTACCGCCTTCCAGTGACCATGGTGAATTAAACAATAAAGCCAGAG